TGACCTGAGATGACATGATGTGAATTGGAGCTATAGAAATAAACTGAATAGAATTGAATGTTACGACTTTCTTGTTCTTTTAGGTAAACTCTGTTTTGTGATGCGAAATCAACACTAGGGAGAACCCCTTAAATGCAACCCCCTTCAAAGATGCAGGACATGAAGAAAATTAAGGATTTATTCGTTTAAATAGTCTCTGTATGTAAACAAAGACATTCAGTGGAGCAGGAAAGCCATTTACCTTCTATTATCTGTTGCTCTAGAAATGCCAGGAAACTATTACATGGAGCTGCATTGTAGTCTCTGCTCACTTCACCTTGGTATTTCCTCTATTTCACATCGAGCTGCCGATGGCTCCAATGTTATGGAAATGTTCGTTTTGATAAGCCTGCAGCGTTCCTTGATAGACAGAGCCTTGAACAATGGGAGCCTCGGCCCCTTTGGCAGTTGGACAGGGACACAAAGGAGACATAATGAGCAAAGATAGCATTGTGATGCTGGGGAGCAGATGAGAAAGGCTGATGCCATTCTCAGTCTTTCTGGCTCCTGTGTAGCTGCGCCTCACAAACACTGAGGAGGAACATTGTGCAGCAGTTTGGTTGCCTGGTTGTCTCCTTTGTGTCAGTGGTGGAGAACGAGTTTTCCAGTCAGGCAAAGCATTGACAGCCTGCTGTTTGCTCTCTGGGCCTGCAGAAATATTTGTTCAATCAGCTTTAGACACAAAACTTCATAAAGAATTGATCAATAAGTAATTCAGCAGTAACAAAGAAGTTATTAAAATCACTGATCTGATCTTGTCACGACTCAGAACTGAGGATCCAGTACTCAGGCTAGACAGACAGTCAGATTATTCAAAAAGCGTTTATCAAAACACTGACAGACGGGAGTAGCAGCGGCTAGCATGTCCGAGGCAGGAAACTGTTTTTAGAGTACAGTCCGAGCCCAGAGGACGATGCAGATGCCGTTTGGCTGGCCAGCGGTTTCCACACAGAGAGTTCCAGACGCTGAAGATCACAGAACTGACACAAGATCAGATCTGAGCAGAAGATGGAAGGAAGGATTATCCAGAGAGAAAAATCATGAGACTGTCATTCTCCCAGGCCTGGGTGCAGACCGGTTTTTCCTTTTTTCTCTCAGCAGGGCTGGACGTGCAGCTGCTCTTCATCAAACTGATTTCCATCTTTCTTAAGGAGCTGGAACCAGCAGGAGGGCGTCGGTTCGTTAATGCTCCAGCGTGGTACAACTGATCCTTTACCAAGCCTTTGCCAAAACCTAACCCTGTACTCTCTCGCTCCTTCTCTTAGAACCCAGGATCCCAAGCCTGAAACCACTCCACAGAAACCTCTTCTCTCTGGACTCCTGTCAGAGGCGTTTCAGTCAGCCTCATGGAACCAGCGAGGCTACGGGTCTCTGAACTATTAAAGCCCTCCTGCCTGAGCTCGCCTGCCTGTCCACCGTCAGATCTCACCCATCGGACCTGCACCACTCGCCTGGACCTCTGGTCACCATCCTCCCAAGAAAGACACCAAGCCGCCCCTCTGTGAGTCACAAACATTCCTCACTCTTCAACCAGCACCGAACTGTTGCTCACCCAACCTCTTCCAGAAAACCCTGCCTGCCAGACTTCACTCTGTACAGCCTCAAACCTTCAATAAAACCCTTTAACTGATTCTTGCCTCTGTGATTGCTCCTATTCAGAGTCTGTAAACCTAAACATGACAGAGACTGATCCTGAGACAGATCCAGGTACAGTCCACAGACAGCCAGTCCACAGACAGATCAGAACAGGGACAGGTGGGTTCAAAGGTCAGGAGAAAAACCAGGTCATGATCAGGCAATCGGAACAGAAAGGATAGAAAACTTTAAGGCTCCAGAATAATCTGATCTCTGAATCACTGATGGCTGGAAGGAAGACATTTAAATAGACGTTGGAACAGGTGGATGCGATGAGCGGTAATGAGAGTTTGGGCGGAGCTAAGCAGGATAATGAAATCAGAAATCAAGCCAGTCATCAGTGCCAAGATGATGACAGATCTATGATCCCCTGTCTGTCCGTCTGTCTGTCTACGTAGCACTATTACAATCAGATTTCACTCATCTTTCTATTTTTAGTTCCACTCTAAGGTTGTAGATCATTTCTACAGATGTGATTCTAAAAGTCAACTATAAATACTTTATTTGTTGGCTTCTTATAAAGAAACGGCGTTTTCCCATCTAACTCAGCCTCCTTCCATTCTTCTAGCTGCTGTGTAACTAAGGGGGCGTGTCTTAAACCGTCAGCATTGATCCATCCAGAAACGATTAATCATCTCTACACTTTAAAATATTCTGACTTTAAAGAAATGAAAACAACCAAAATAATTCTTTCCTATAATTTAAGGCTTCCTGCTCTAACAGATATGAAACCACTGTCAACCATCAGCCTTTAGATGGGATGACTATCTTATTGGTGATTCCTGTATTTAGCAGTTGAAGCAGTTAAGAGGGGGGGGGGAGGTGCTAGATGTATTGTTAGGATGGATATGCAGGGAGGGGCTACAAAAATACTGAGTAATTAAACATATCAGACAACCAGGAATAGACTGGTTACTTTTGACTCCTCAAAGGTAAAAGATTTCTCAGTAAATTTTTAGTAATGTATCAGAAGACCTTTGATCACTTTGTACAGTAAATGAAATTGCTATTTTGGAGACACTTTGGGCCGGATTTATCAAGATCCAACTTTGCGTGCAGTAATTTGCGCTCGCAAACTGGAATTTTGCGCGAGGGGCTGAACCATGGTGGGTGATTTAACAAGAGTGATTGCGTAACTGGTGGCAGGTGCAAAACTGTTGGAGACGCCCTATTTAAATGATGGTTTTG